TCAGCTGGTGTGCGCGCAGGTGCGAAGTGGCCGCTCCTCCTGACACTGCCTTCTCCCGGGGCCAGACTGCCTGCGGAAAGCTGCTCCCCCACCCGCGTTACCCCCCTGCAGTGCCAGGATCATCTTCCTTTGAAAACCCCGAGAATTAGCAGAGCAGTTCTCCTCCCGCCTCCCCGAGGATGTGTCCTCGGTCCAGATACACCCTGGGGAGTTGATAGGCTGTGTCCGTGTCCGTGCTCCCAAGTGCTCCGCAGGCGGCCAGGCTCCAGTAGAACAGAAGTCAGAAGAGACAGGCATGTAAGCGCATCCGGGTCTTGTAGGCCTTCCGAGCCCTGCTGCTGCGGGGCGCTGTCCCCACTTGTGTTGGAGACGGGGAACCCGGGCCCTGTCCTGATGGCCCATGAGACAGGGCCAGCTGCAAACCCCTGGAAGGCCAGTGAGCCAACCCAGAGGACAGGCCGTGCGTGCCCTCTGAAGCACTGTCCTTGCTGACGGAGGCCTCACTGCACAGCCTGAACGCGCCAGGTCCCGCGGCCTCTCCTGGAGTCGCCCTCCGCGTCACAGAAACCTGGGGTCTGGTCCGGGAGCGTGTCCCCAGCTTTACAGGGAGACCTACGTCCCCCCTGCTTCCTGGGAGCTCCCAGGAGCCCTGTCCCCAGTCGCCTCTCCCGGCCACCGCCAGACCACCCACCTGGCGGGTCAGACCCGCTCCCACCCACCACCCAGCTCTGCTCTCCCCTCCCAGGCCTCGGCCCCTCCAAATAATTTATATGATTAATAAAAACAACAATAGTTTATATGTATACTTACTATGTGCCAGGTACGATTATAAATGTTTTATTTATATTAATTCGTTATAAATGGACACAATACGAAATTCAAAAAGTGCAAAGTCTTCCTCCTCATGCCGTGTCTTCGGCCACCCACGGCCACCCAGAAGCTTCCACTCCTATTGGCTCCTGTGTGTCCCCTAAGCGATCCAGTGAATAAATACACAGCACTCAGGTATGTGTCCTCTCATCGCTGTTACCCAGGCGGCGGCATACAAAACGCCATGTTCTCATCTTCGGGTTTTTTGGTTACTTTTCCCAGGTTTGCTTTTCACTCCTGCGAGAGAGATTCGTATGCCCCTTCCCTAGATGCTGAGTGCTGTGATGGGTGTGTGTGTGTGGGCGGGGGAGGGGGGAGACAGTCTGCAGGCATCCCCTGCCCTGCACTTGACTGTCTGCAAGTGACTGAAGGGCTGCTGAGGTTATGAAAGGGGGAAAGAGGGAGCCTCCAGGGCCAACAGGTTTCTCTCTTCTCACAACTCATGTAACTTCTTGGTCCTCCAGTCCCTCACCTGTTAAATGGGGTAACACTCGTTCTTCAAGGTTTGTGAAGTTGGAGGGTTGCCTTCCGAACCCGCTCCCCACCCCCATGCTCAAGTATCTCTGACCACCTTCACCAAAGCCTACTCCCACGGGTCACTGCATGGGGACAGCGTGAGGCCAACAGTGTCCCATGTGGTCACCTGCTCTGTTGGACACCAGGCCTCAACCTAGATCTCAGGGCGTCTGAGCCTGACACTTTGGGCTGGATTGTGTGTGGCTGCCTAGTGCACTGTAGGACACTTCATAGCATCCCTGATCTCCATCTCCTATATACTCTTAGGATCCCCCCAGGCCTGACAACCAAAAGTCTCCAGACATTGGCAAAAGTCCACTGAGGAGCCAAATTCTTCCAGGTAAGAACCGCTGAACTGAACCTGAGCAGCAGGGCTCTGGGTGCAGGCACGGCGAGAGGCTGATGGGAAAGACTGAGGGCAGCAGAGTTTTCCTTCCTTGAATCAGACTATATCTTAAGCTGTTTCCTTTGTTTAATCTCTCCTGTGGCTCGACCACAGGAATGTTCTGGAAGGGTGTTGTATAATGTGTAATGCGTACTTCAGAGTTCCGGAGTCTGATGGGAGTCCTGGCTCTGACACTTGCCAGCTCTGTGACCTTGGGCCAGTTATGCAGCCCTTCCGTTCCTCCATGCTCATCCATAAACAGGATAAGAACATGCCTGCCCCCTGGGCTGTGGCAGCATCACATGGGATAACATGCGTAAGCGCTTAGCACGGTGCGGGGACAGACAAGCCGCTGCAGGACGGATTCCCCAGGAGACGGAGATCTGTGTGCAGGACATTCATGGGGGATGCGGTCAGGATGCATACCGTGGGGGAAGGGAAGCCCCCTTCCTGGGGGTGAGGCAGGGGGAGACCCGCGGGGCTGCCTGCACTGGCAGCCCTGGGGCTATGGCGACCCTTCGGAGTGGTGCTGAGGGTGGAAGGACCTGTCTGAGAATACGCTGCCCCAGGGAGTGGGCATGGCCTTGGGTGGGGAGGCTCTCAGGTGGAAAGGACAGTCCTCTCCCGAGAGCGTCAGTCCTGGAGAGGGAGGCGGTCATGGCCGCGCACAGCATCCGAGCAGGATGCTGGTTGGCCGGCACCGCGAGGCCAGGGTTAGGCAGCAGTGACAGTGCTTTAGACACGCCGTAGACACCCGGAATGCTCCGGCCTCCCCGTGCCCAGGTCCCTGTCCCCGCACCCGCACAGGCCACGCCCGCTCTCTCCTGACCGCCCTCCCTGGAACCAGGACGGGCAGGCAGAGCGAGAGGCGCTGCCACTCCCACCCGCCAGACACGCTGCGCGGAGGCAGAGGGCAGGCAGCCGCTCCAGCTGAGGCCTCCGCCAGATCCCTCGGCCCGTCCCACTTTCGTTTCTTCCCGGGTGAGCGGGGAGGCGCTGCTCCCCGGAGCGGGTGGGGCAGGGTGGGGTCAAACGGGATGCTGCGCGCAGCGCTTCTCCCCGGGTGGTCCCTGGGCCATCAGGACTGGCAGCCCCGCCCGGGGACAGGTTCGAAACCTGGGTTCTTGGGCCCCGCCCCAAAGCCACTGACTCCGGGGCTCGGGCCCAGTCCCAGGCAGCGTGTTTGGCAGGCCCTCCAGAGCTCAGTGCTGGGAATCACCGGTGCACCGGACAGCGTTTGGCCCCGTGTCTGGACCACAGGAGGGGCAGCGTCAGCCTCCGCTGCATGGGAATGGGACCCTGAACCCGAAGTCCACCTGCTGAGCTGGAGGTCAGGCACCGGCGAGCAGAGCGCCACCTGCTGGTTATAGCCCCACCGCGCAGGCACGCGCATGGCTCAGGCAGGGACGCAGGGACCCAGGACAAGTTACACACGGCAGACGTGACCCTTGCCCTCAAGGAACTTAAATAGTGCTCAACAATATTTGAATAAATACTAGCATGTATTCACTCAACAAACACACGTTCAGTGCCTCCTGGTGCTAGGGGCAGCGCTAGATGCTGGGGATACTGCGATGAATAAGGCAGTCCCTGTGCTGTGGAACTTACAAGCTGGGGGAGGGAGAAGGGGAGCAAGTACCCCAAGGGGAAAGGACCTGGGGGGTGTGGGAGCCTTTGACAGGAGCTGATGTGGCCTAGCGGGGGAAGAAGGTCTGAACCTCAAGACT